CTGTATGATGCGGCTAACTGTCTCTCCTGAGTATTGTGATGTTGTTGGAGACTGTATGATGCAGCTAAATGTCTCCTGATTGCTGTGTGATGGTTGTTGGAGACTGTATGATGCGGCTAACTGTCTCTCCTGAGTATTGTGATGTTGTTGGAGACTGTATGATGCAGCTAAATGTCTCCTGATTGCTGTGTGATGGTTGTTGGAGACTGTATGATGCGGCTAACTGTCTCCTGCGTATTGTGATGTTGTTGAAGACTGTATGATGCGGCTAACTGTCTCTCCTGATTGTTGTGATGTTGTTGGAAACTGTATGATACGGCTAACTGTCTTTCCTGATTGCTGTCTAATGTTGTTGGACACTGTATGCTGCAGCTAAATGTCTCCTGATTGCTGCGTGATGGTTGTTGGAGACTGTATGATGCGGCTAACTGTCTCCTGAGTATTGTGATGTTATTGGAAACTGTATGATACGGCTAACTGTCTTTCCTGATTGCTGTCTAATGTTGTTGGACACTGTATGATGCAGCTAAATGTCTCCTGATTGCTGTGTGATGGTTGTTGGAGACTGTATGATGCACCTAACTGTCTCCTGAGTATTGTGATGTTATTGGAGACTGTATGATGCGGCTAACTGTCTCCTGAGTTTTGTGATGTTATTGGAGACTGTATGATGCACCTAACTGTCTCTCCTGAGTATTGTGATGTTGTTGGAGACTGTATGATGCGGCTAACTGTCTCCTGAGTATTGTGATGTTGTTGGAGACTGTATGATACGGCTAACTGTCTCCTGAGTATTGTGATGTTATTGGAGACTGTATGATGCACCTAACTGTCTCCTGAGTATTGTGATGTTGTTGGAGACTGTATGATGCGGCTAACTGTCTCCTGAGTATTGTGATGTTGTTGGAGACTGTATGATGCGGCTAACTGTCTCCTGAGTATTGTGATGTTGTTGGAGACTGTATGATACGGCTAACTGTCTCCTGAGTATTGTGATGTTATTGGAGACTGTATGATGCGGCTAACTGTCTCCTGAGTATTGTGATGTTGTTGGAGACTGTATGATGCAGCTTAATGTCTCCTGAGTATTGTGATGTTATTGGAGACTGTATGATGCAGCTAACTGTCTCCTGAGTATTGTGATGTTGTTGGAGACTGTATGATGCAGCTTAATGTCTCCTGATTGCTGCGTGATGTTTGTTGGAGACTGTATGATACGGCTAACTGTCTCCTGATTGCTGTGTGATGTTGTTGGAGACTGTATGATGCGGCTAACTGTCTCCTGATTGCTGTGTGATGTTGTTGGAGACTGTATGATACGGCTAACTGTCTCCTGATTGCTGTGTGATGTTGTTGGAGACTGTATGATACGGCTAACTGTCTCCTGAGTATTGTGATGTTATTGGAGACTGTATGATGCGGCTAACTGTCTCCTGAGTTTTGTCATGTTTGTTGGAGATTGTATGATGCGGCTAACTGTCTCCTGAGTATTGTGATGTTATTGGAGACTGTATGATACGGCTAACTGTCTCCTGAGTATTGTGATGTTATTGGAGACTGTATGATACGGCTAACTGTCTCCTGATTGCTGTGTGATGTTGTTGGAGACTGTATGATGCGGCTAACTGTCTCTCCTGATTGCTGTGATGTTGTTGGACACTGTATGCTGCAGCTAAATGTCTCCTGATTGCTGCGTGATGTTTGTTGGAGACTGTATGATACGGCTAGCTGTCTCCTGCGTATTGTGATGTTGTTGGAGAATGTATGATGCAGCTTAATGTCTCCTGAGTATTGTGATGTTATTGGAGACTGTATGATACCGCTAACTGTCTCCTGAGTATTGTGATGTTATTGGAGACTGTATGATACCGCTAACTGTCTCCTGAGTATTGTGATGTTATTGGAGACTGTATGATATGGCTAACTGTCTCCTGAGTTTTGTCATGTTTGTTGGAGACTGTATGATGCACCTAACTGTCTCCTGAGTATTGTGATGTTATTGGAGACTGTATGATATGGCTAACTGTCTCCTGAGTTTTGTCATGTTTGTTGGAGATTGTATGATGCGGCTAACTGTCTCCTGAGTATTGTGATGTTATTGGAGACTGTATGATACGGCTAACTGTCTCCTGAGTATTGTGATGTTATTGGAAACTGTATGATATGGCTAACTGTCTCCTGAGTTTTGTCATGTTTGTTGGAGATTGTATGATGCGGCTAACTGTCTCCTGAGTATTGTGATGTTATTGGAAACTGTATGATATGGCTAACTGTCTCCTGAGTTTTGTCATGTTTGTTGGAGATTGTATGATGCGGCTCAAAACAAGAGTTGGAACCATTTTGTAATGATTTGTCTTTTTTTTCAAAACAATTGCTCGGCATCACTATTCGATTGGTAAGGCAAGTGCTGCTACTTGAGTCCATTGATATTGATATCTCAAAATAAATATGTAACTGTATTAGGTAGGTATTTAGATATTGAAAGGCAGAGAATTTGTCCTAGTTAGAGGTAAACATGCTTAAGGACAATAGTAACTGGATTTGTTTTAATCTTACATGTACACGAACGGGTAAGTGTAAACTGACACTCAAGTACAAAGATATGAAAATATTTAAAATCGCCTTTTGCAGTTTTCCTGGTAGTGTGGCGGTTTTCCTGCCTATAATTCTCATCCGTTTTAGTCAAAATGGTCAAATACTCTGGAAAATGTCTAATACGAGAGGCTTTTCATGAAAACATCAATCCGATGTTACGACGAATTCTTCATGAATCTGAATCAGAATAAACCTTTATTCACCTTGTCTATTCATAATTTGAGGGAGCATAACAAATTTATCACTGTAGAAAAAGGAACCGAGAAAATACCAACATGTCAACAAAATCGTTATTCCAACTCAATAAACTAGGGCTAACTATGGACAAAAGAAAGATTTAAACGACGATTCCTGAATAGTACTAGAAGAATAAGACCAGGTGTACCGGAAGAGTAAGAGTCTTCTGCTTCAAAGACGACCCGCGGCATGTAAACCTTGGTCAATCCAAGTAAGTAATGCCACGTTCTCAAATGAGAGCAAGGTATAAACAGAACCAAAAGTGATTGGAACCAGACTGTGTTACAAACAACCACATAAGGACGTTCTACCGTAATCCTAACCAGAGTTCTGTAAAATCGAACTAATCACCGATGGTATCATCTTTTCATTTCGGAATGCATTAATTTTTTTTACTTTAAGAAATTTGATGAAAGTACTCAGCAGAATCGATCAGGAAATGATTATTTAGACTTGACGGTTGGCTCAGTCAGTCGGTTTTAAAGCTATGACTACACCATATTATCTATCGTTATCTACTTGTTTACTATAAAAAAGAATATTGCTGATGCCTCCACAAGGCCTATACCGACAGTTAGTCTATTTGCGTACTCTGTAATTGTTAATCCTAATTACTATTGATTTATCATGCACAAAAAACACACTTCCCCATTACCTAATCACGTTAAACGTTCATGTCTGTGATGTTAACGTTTAACATAAACAGCCATTTTTCAGATTTTTAATTTCGATACCACTCCGACATAACAGAGTACATTTTTATATTTAAGGGAGTGGCGAGTTCGAGGCAACACTTTTAGTTGAAAATGACGTCCATTGCTCTTATGTACATCATTGTGTGACTATTATTATAAAATAAATTTATTTTAAAATGTTTTTAGCTCCTGTTATAAATTTTACCATAGCACAGATATCGCAATTTGTGATTTAATTATTTGATGGCCAGACACAAAGATGTTGCTCGACTTTTCCGGTTGAATAAGAATATACGGTTTAATATTTTCCACATCAGCTCGGGTACGTGGGCAATAGCTAAAAGCGTGGAAACGTGGAAATTGTTATTAAATTATAACGATGGTTTACGTTTGGTCGGTTGAGCGTGATTTTGTATCTTCCTGTGTCATCATGATACTATTAAAGTGTATGGTTACTTATCAAAGAATACGCTCCCTATATAATGCACTTGATTTGAAGAAGGTATTCGGTTATTTCACATTGATAGGCATGTTCCAATTTTGGTTAGTGACAATGCAGAGGAGGTGTGCGAGGGCATGGTTAAACCGGGAATGGGGAGTGGAGGGTAAGGAGAGGGAGGAATATAGAGCATGGTTAAACCGGGAATAGGAATGAGAGAGACAGACAGAGGGAGCGGGTATGAGGACGGAGGATAGCGAGAGGGAGGGATATGGAGCAAGGTTAAACCAGGACTAGGAATGAGAGAGACAGAGGGAGCGGGTATGAGGGCGGAGGATAGAGAGAGGGAGGGATATGGAGCAAGGGAAAACCAGGACTAGGAATGAGAGAGACAGAGGGAGCGGGTATGAGGGCGGAGGGAGGCTAAAGAGAGGGAGGGAAATGGAGCAAGGGAAAACCGGGAGGTGGATTGAGAGAGACAGAGGGAGCGGGTATGAGGACGAAGGGTAAGGAGAGGGAGGAATATGGAGCAAGGTTAAACCGGGAATAGAAATGAGAGAGAGAGAGAGAGGGAGAGAGAGGTGGGTATCAGGACGAGGGAGGGTATGGAGAGGGAGGGAAATGGAGTAAGGGAAAACCGGTAATAGGAATGAGTGAGAGAGGGAGGTGGGTATCAAGACGAGGGAGGGTAAAGAGAGAGAGGGAAATTGAGCAAGGGTACATCGGGAAGTGGAATGAGAGAGACATAGGGGAGCGGGTATGGGGACGAGGAAGGGTAAAGAGAGGGAGGGAAATTGAGCAAGGGTACATCGGGAGGTGGAATGAGAGAGACATAGGGGAGCGGGTATGGAGACGAGGAAGGGTAAAGAGAGGGAGGGAAATGGAGCAAGGGTACATCGGGAGGTGGAATGAGAGAGACATAGGGGAGCGGGTATGAGGACGGAGGGACGGTGAAGAGAGGGAGGGAAATAGAGCAAGGGAAACCGGGAAGTTGAACGAGAGAGAGGGAGGTGGGTATTAGGACGAGGGAAGGTATGGAGAGTGAGGGATATGGAGCAAGGGTACACCGGGTAGAGAAAGAGGGGAAGACGGGAACAAAGGCGAGTCAGGGTAAAGAGAGAGAAGAAAATGATGGATGAGGGAAAAGTGAACAATTCTTTTTCCAAATTTCCTGCTCTCACCGTTCGCCATTGACCTTAACAATTGAATAAGAGACACTTCACTCAAACGACAGATATTAAGTTATGATATTATATGATATCTATGTAAGGCAACTAGAAAAGATAACAAAGGGAGACTCCATTAGTATATTTAATATAATACATGAATGTTTCTGATTATCTGTGGACTGGGGATTTCTATACACCTGCTACTAAATGTGATACGTCATCATAAATACCTACAATTTTGTACGTAAATAACACGTTAACGAATATGCACTGATATCTGATGGCAGAAGATTCTAATTTCTGATACGAGCAATCGTTTGGTATCCTTTATCATTCGTACGATCTGAAAATTAAGATAAGTATTTGTCAAATGATCCACAATTAAGGTGAAAAAAACCACGTATCTATTTCCACGAGAAGAGTAGAGTTCGGAATTGTTAATGGTGTGGGCACATCCTATAAGCGTCATGATACATGATGGTTTATTATGATCTAGTCTGTATGATAACCTCAGGTCTAAGTAAACTAGAGGTATATGTTTTACTTAAGGGTAATTATTGAACTAGATACAAAAATACATATGAGACATATTAAGTTATAAAAGTGTGTTACTTTACACCCCGAGATTTATGATATTCAACACTCCTTGTCACGCAGCCCCGATACACTGAAACGTTCTTGTACCATTCATACTCGGCATGAATTGTATCTTATATTTTAATGTATCTTTTTTTCTCTTCGAGTGATGGATATAATATTCCTTTATTATAGGGGACTATTGAATTCAACGTACTATAATACACATGTAGTTTTACGGAATCAGATTTACCGATATTCTAGAAAAGTACCAAATATAATACACCTATATTCCAGAGTAGTACCAAATATAATACACCAATGTTTTAGAGGATGATCCGAATGTAATACACCCGATTTTTAGAAGAGTACCAAATGTATTAATACTCTAATTTAGAAAAGTAACAAATATAAAAATGCATTCATATTCTAGAGGAGTACCAAATGTAATGCAACCATACTCCAAAGGAGTACCGAATGTTTTGTGTCTGTGTTCTAGAGGAGTACCAAATGTATTGCGCCTATGTTCTAGAGGAGTACCAAATGTATTGCACCTGTGTTCTAGAGAGGTGCAAAATATCATACGCCGATATCTAAAGTAATATATCACCTACTGTACTTTAAGTCTGGAGGAGTGCCTTGTATAACTAACTACTGGAATATCGAACAATATAGTAACTACTGTACCTTCAGTCTGGAGGAGTGTCCTGTCTAATTAACTACTGGAATATCGAACAATATAGTAACTACTGTACCTTCAGTCTGGAGGAGTGTCCTGTCTAATTAACTACTGGAATATCGAACAATATAGTAACTACTGTACCTTCAGTCTGGACGAGTGGCCTGTCTAATTAACTACTGGAATATCGAACAATATAGTAACTACTGTACCTTCAGTCTGGACGAGTGGCCTGTCTAATTAACTACTGGAATATCGAACAAAAGACATGATGCTTTTATTGTACGACGTAAGTACGGGTGTAAATGGAGACTGCCAACAGTGAACTCTCAGATCAGTTCGGCTTTAATCTCTATTATCAAAAGGCTGAACCGTTCAAACAGTAAATGTTTTCTTGGCTATTACTTACTGACCAATGACTGGACTAGAGACAAGCACGTTCGAGTTAAAAACAAAATACCCGTTGTACTGGACCAAAAATGGAATATTGTAAAATTAACACGGACTAGTAACGCGAGAATGGTTTACAAAAAGGTGATGTACTAACAGTACTCGGGGACACATTGTGCAAGATAGAAGTCATGATCTCTTATTGTTTGCCAATAGTGACATCATAGAGACATGGATACTTTTGATTGACCAAGAAATAGGAACACTCAGAGTTCAGATAGATCTATACAGTAGGAGTATAACACGTCAGACTTTTGTCAGTGGGAAACGTGTTGATGTTATTATCAGTGTGTATCCGTATCAAATCACACGTGCAATCTCACGTGCTATTTATTGCTTAAGTGTTCCTGTAATCGTATCAGTGTAAAGGTACTATGATGAATTGCCGAAGTGTAAAACCACGTCAGAATCACATGATATATTTGTATACTAAGTTAAATTTAAATGGTGTTGATTAAAGCACGTGCCTCCCAGGTGTAAAACATACGCGATAATGAAGGACTTAATAGGTTTGCATGTTTGCATCTAACAGCGCATGAAAGCAATTACAGACCTGATGTGTTCGCGCTCTGTGATATCTTCAGGATATGGATCCTAACTTTAGCTTGCGCTGGGGTTTTCTTTAAACCAACAAAGAAACATAAAACGTCAGAAAGTACTTTAATGTTCGCTATCCATCATTATTTGAAACAATTTTCACAAACTTACTAGAAAGGGTCTACACTATTAAAATTTATTTAAGTAACCACTCTAACAATTTATATATAAGATAAATATCTTCTATAACGTACATCATATTTTCATTTCAAAGTTAGGTTTTTAACACAATCACAGAAGAATAGGAACTTTGCTCTGCAATAGTACGCACTACTTTTTCTGTTTAACACCTTGTGTACGTCTATCCAACAAGATATAGCAACCATAATATACAGTCATATTTGTGAAGTGGGATATTTTCTGTCATATTTGTGAAGTGGGATATCTTCTATGTCATATTTGTGAAGTGGGATATCTTCTATGTCATATTTGTGAAGTGGGATATCTTCTATGTCATATTTGTAAAATGGGATATTTTCTGTCATATTTGTGAAGTGGGATATCTTCTATGTCATATTTGTGAAGTGGGATATTTTCTGTCATATTTGTGAAGTGGGATATCTTCTATGTCATATATTGATAGACCATCGAGGGAACTGTGGAATGGACAAGATTGCAATCCAAACAAGAGGCGTTAAGGGATTTAGTCATCAAAAGGAGGAAGATATCCTAGAAGTTCATACCGAAGATCCGGGGGATGACAATCCGTTTTCAACAGTTCGCTTAAGTGATAGGGAAAGTTGGTTGACGCCAGTACAATTGGAAGGAGAGACAAGACCGAACTTCAAAAACAGTTCAATTACGACCGCAATGGAAGTTCAGGGATTAACATTCAGTACACAAAAGTTAGGCTAGCATCGGAATGCACATCAGCCAGCTACCCATTTATCACTAGGCGAAGAGATGAAGGTGTCAAAAGCAAGACTACATAGGTTTGTGGTGCTAAAATGGAAAGCTCATGAATGTCTGTATAGAGACAAGAAGTTGAAGGAAATGGTCAGCCAGTTTCACAAACGACCAAGCGGAATGTCGTTTGAGAAATAGATACATTTTCGATTCCACATGTGTATGGACAACTGGGATTGGGAAGGGTACGTGTAGAGCGCTCTAGACAAAGAGGAAGGTGGTGCTAGAAGACATCAAAGAAATGTGCACAAATAAGAAAATACCAACAAGTAAACACAATCATAGTCCAAGGTCAGATTTAAAAAGATTAGGGCAAAATATGATCAAAAGAAAGATTTAAACGAAGACTTCATCAACAACATCCACGAAGTAAAACCTTAAGGATGAACCTTGACTAGTGTTTCAGACATCGTCCATACTAGACTACGAAATAATGTTCTCCATTGGTTAAATCAAGGAAGAAAACTGATCAAGGTTGATCCAACAATTGCTTGGGAGGGATGGTTGAGAAAGCATTCCAACGGAAGAAAACAATACGATACACTGGTATAGGGATAGGAAATATTGGAGCAGTGAGGCGGAAATGCTGGTCTTCCCAGTGAAGATAGGATACCGGAACACAAGCCCTTTGGAGAAATGTTCACGGCACTAGGGGTCAAGGATGCAGACAGGAAAGCAGCTACGAAACGACTATTGAAGGCGAAAGAGAAATCGTCGATCTGGCCATGGGCGAGACGAATATACAGGAACTGGAAGTCGCCCATAGACAGGAAGTGATGTGTTCATTTATAGTTGACTCCCCTGAGGACATTCCGTGCTAGGACTTAAATCTTGTCTTAAGACGCCTGTGAATCAGCAAGGTAGTGATTAGTTTAAAGTTTGGCGTAAGTGCGGAACTTTAAGCTGTAACTGTTCTAATTCATTTCAGTATTGGCTTGATTTAATTTGATAGACCAGTGGGCTATACATATTATGTATCTGTGATTGACAGTTTTTCGTCATTTCATCGGTCTACTTATTACGATGTATTTTGAAATAGATGTCTTCGAATAAAAAATTCAGTAAATAATATCATCACATCACCTCGACGTTATAAATATCCCGTCTGAGTGAACTTTTTCGGTTTTACAGAGAATCGGATCGACAATTTGTAGCTTTATAAGTAATATGAGTTATATGGAATTATTAAAATGAAATCTTACTCTTGTGTCAATCTCGTGTGTGAGTTATTCGGGAGGACATTAACAATCTATGTATGTGTTGTATGATTTAAGTTAACAAACATTACATTGAATCGTTGTAATACCGTTACCATTATCCCGGTGAACAATTTCAGAAACTATTGCTAGTAAATTACCAAATTTTCTTCGCGTCGTATATTTTTATTTAAACTGTCTTGAGAAGATCATAATGGCACTGAAATTTTACTGAAACATCTATATCCATACAAAAGCGACTTATATACTTGTTAAGGAGTCATATTGTACTTTTAGGGACTCATTCGGACACGTTTCAATTATGTTGACAGTTTGACTGTTAGGTTATTGTAAATCTGATTCGTGATGTTAATTTTTGTGATAGGTGAAGAGAAGTATGTTGGTTGATCGGAAAATATTTTCATTTTCATATCGTAATAATACTGATAATGTTTATAGTTCACTTTGTTAATGTCTTAATTAGGTCGTGTCACGAGAGATACTAATCAATAATACACACGACGTAATTATCATGTCATTTATGTCACTAACTGTCGTGAACTCTGTGTATATCAGATCCAAGTCTTTTCTGTGTAACCGTTAAATATGTCCTGATACACTTCCAGTCAATGCTTTCGACACTGACATTCCTTAGGATTGTGTTCCTTTTCACGCATGCGTTAATGTTACCGGAAGTGATTATGCGATAACTGACAACACAGACCTACGTTAGCGAGAAAGTATTAGGGAGTCACTGGGCACATATACTGTTACATCCCCAGTATTATGTACTGGTCTGTGTGTCCCATTATGTTCTCTCACAAAACCTACAAATAAAACGTTATTATTTGATTGTTGTCCTCGAGATGACATTTGGAAAACCAAGCCAATTGTTGAATGTGTCATTGGTTTGTTTCCTGTGATGTTAATCCTAATTTGATGACTACCTGTCACTGTAGCGTGAACAGTACCAACCATATGTAACCACAAACAACAGTATATTTCGCTTTATTATTCCACTGAAGGTATGTCTCAGTATTGCAAACTTAATTAATCTCGCAAAGATCAAACAGGTATACGATAATATGTTTATTATTGCATTTTAACAGAACTAGTGCGCGTTTTAAATAGTATCTAATTTGATCAAATTGAAACCTTCAAAATGATAACAATATTTTCCTTTTTCATATTGGAAAAAGATCACAAATGACAATACTTTTTTTCATTTCGAGCTGATGTGTTTGGTGTCGATGTCAACACCGCTCCTGTGCTGTACGGGTGGACAGATAGAGTATATGTAGCGAACACGCCCCGTGCTAACGTACCGTGTTGAGAATGTGGGGGTTATGGGTCTGGGAATGATGTTTGGGTATCCTCGGGTGTAAACTAGCTTTATCCTACAGGATATGTAAAATGTATCTTCTGAATGTCAATGAGTATATACAATTTTAGGAATCAACCCTGATAATATACAATATATGTCGAGAAGTGTGGCATGTTGTCTGGAATGATTGCTGTCGACAATTGAAAATTTTCGAAAAGAAATGTTTGCCAAATGCGAGAAAAAGACTATACAGAACTGTATTTCCTTCAAATTAAGTATCAAACCAATATCACGCATGTGGCTAAGTATTGTACTCTAAATCTCACACTTCCGTCCTAACCAAACTTCTGTTTAAACCTCGTACAGTGGCTAAGTATTATACTCTAAATCTCACACTTCCATCCTAACCAAACCTCTGTGTAAACCTCATACAGAGACTAATGTTTATACTCTAAATCTCACGCTTCCACCCTACCCAAACTTTTCAAGAAAAGTGTACATTGGCGAAGTATGATGTTCATATGGTTAACTGAAACAGTTTTTAGACAAAGTACTAAACATGATATATTTCTCGAAATATGTAAATGTAGCGTAGCTTCAAGAGGACTATATATATATATGTAAGTGCAATTTAATACATAATGTTATTGATCATTTTGACATCGTCGTTTAAAACATTCAAAATAAAGGTGATAGACAATAGTTTTTCTCGTGATTAGCCTGCACACCTGGTCTACAACCCAGATTACGTAAGACAGGTGTGAAGTACTGATTACAGCATCAAAATGATGACATCTATATACACCTAAGTGACAGTTTGATTGAAGAGTTGTAATCTTATTTCAGAATTTTCAAATGTTTTCAACAAACTAAAACATATAATGTTTAATACTATTTATCATGAATGACGTGCTGTTTGTTCTACTGCCCTAAATAATGTTATGACGGTATTACAGTGCATGTGTTAGGGCATTCGAAGGTTAACTATATAATTCATTGATGTTAATGTTTCAGTATCAACATCCACTTCCTAGATGATGTGTTGCCAAAACCATTTTTTGGTTTAAAATGAAGTCAACTCCTTGATACGTGTCTATCTTTCAGTGTTTCATCGCCTTTAGTGTAATCAAACAAACACCACTGAGTTTGATATCTACTGACCATTGTATGGCACTAGATATTTACAGGTCACCTCACCTCAATAATAACTCATGCCTCTTGGTTAAGCACTACTGGTTTATTTTCATCAATTCATGATGCAATTATATGCACAGATGAGCAAATCTAACTACACAGAAAAATGGCGTCCATCCAAATCCTCCCACACTTACGTCAGACACAACGTTACGGCACGAGATTGTGCCACGTGACTCTGTCAGATTACGGCGGAAATCAAAGTAATGATAGACTGTGTATAATACGTTAATTACAACATTTAAAAGGGCACCCTGTACAGACAAGGCAGGCCCTCGGGCGTGGCGAGGAGATGTATGACGATCATGAACGACATTTTCTCCAAGGCCACTCTCTGACCCCTGAAACTCGTTGTCTGATGACCTAAATGCAAATGACTAAAGCTTTCATCTTGAAGGAATTTGGAAAATTCGCCGACAAATCAGCATAAATCTGTCCGTCCCAGTGATGTCCGAGCTCTGTAATTCCTCTATAGGATTATCACTTCTTGTTTAACAAGCACGTGTTCACTTACTGACATGGACATATAAATCCACGGCTTCCCTAGAAAACCAAAACTGCACATTTTCCCAAATTCTTTTGTTGTTTGCGTGTAGCTGATAAAGCTTTTTTCTGCTTTTATTGGATATATCTTCAAGAGACTGAAGAGGATACGATTAATTCACTTCGTAAAAACGATTATGAAGTCCCCTCAAGTTTCTATTCAAGTGTTTTTGCAATTCTGTCAATTTTTATCAATTTTGTATGCATTCTTCTAGTTCTTTATATTTTTAATACGATAATTTCAGCTTCAGCCCTACGAGATTGAACAAACAACACAAAAGTAGTTAACACCGTTTAATACAAATTACGAATTTGATAAAGAAGAGTCAAATACATGTAATGAATTAAACTGCATCACATTTTTGGACTAGTCAGAGGCACTAAGTGATAAAGTAGTTAAATGAATGTCACAGGGCAAAGAAAACAAAGTCATTCATTTACCCTACACTTCCATAAAATTCATAGATTTGATCATTTTCGATACATTTGAATGATGTTTATATGTGCTGCACAGTGCCAAGGATGTTGCAGATAAGTGATTTAGTTTTTTATTTGGCATGAACTGAATCTATCAAA